ACTGCTGTTCATCCTTAGGGAAAGTATGTGGGTGTAGTCATTGTCTTTTTCTCGAAGCCTGGCCTTCAGAGAACGTGCCTCAGGCCACAACTGTCTTCTGTGCTGAGGGCATAGCCCTGTCTACCTGCCTGTAATATTTATAACTAACTTAGCTGTCTACAGTATTAGGACTCTGCCCCACATCATTCTGTGCAAGAAGGCCGAGATGCAGCAGACCACCTCCAAAGAGCCTCAACACTGCACATCTTCTCACACCAATATTTACTGCCTTCAGAAACCCCAGGCAGGAGGGTGCCGCTGAAAGAAATTTAGTGCCCATTAACCTCTGCCTTAAAATACACTTTATTATATATAGCAACAGCTTTGGATGTTCTGGCAATTGGGGTTTCTCCATCAGAAATTTACCCTTCATGCAAAACAAACCTCAGGGTGCAACCTTCCCAGGTTCTGGGGGTGCATACTGCTTAGACAAGACTCCTAGGTCTTTCTGCAGTGGTGTTTTGTTTCTGCCTCTGAGTCGGAAAGTGCGGGACACCGCCAACATGTGAAAAGTAACTGCAATTTTAAAATATTCTAGAAATGTTCTGGCCAGTACTTATCCTCACTCACACTGTCAGTTTTAACCACCAGTTTTTTCTACTACTCTGCATACAGCTGAAGAAATCAGGAAACGTGCAGGTCGCTGAGCAGCACACAAGGGCCTCACAGAGGGGCCTGCTCTTTACCCGGATCTCTGCAGACCAGGTCCACATCACCCAACACACCTGGCCCCACACCTGCTCCTCACCTACTTCTGCCTTCACAGATTAGTATGGGATGCTGCAGTTGCTTAATACTGCTGTGGTCATTTAGGGCTCAAACATTTGCAGTTTGTAAAGGAGGAGCTGGAGAGACGGGCTGAGTTGAAAGGCACAGGAGGACAGGCAGAGAAAGAGGAGGAAGACCACCTCAGGAGACTCAGTGCAGACTCTCCTGCTACCTGGAGGAAGCAGGTAGCCGGGCAGGAGAAAGGGGGCTGCTGTCCTCAGGAGGACCTGATGTTGAGGTGGAAACAAGCTTAAGCCATCACGGTGGCGACACCAACACAAAGGACCAGGAATCAAACAACCAAACAACGGTGGAAGCTGTCCCCATCACAGATCTCCTGTCTCCAGCTGCATTAAAATCTCAAAGGCTGCACCTATAGCAAATACTTTGCATTTTCCAGGCTCTACTCACAGTACCACCAACCTGAGCACAGCAGGTCCTAATAAAGCTCTGCTCCAGAGCAGTTTGCATGCTAAGACAGTAAATGCACTTCTAGAGAAATTCCATCTGCAAAATAAAAGGGCTACTCACAGCAACTTCTTTGGTCTTTTGGGTCAGACTGGGGCTGCGCTTGACCTTTATCATCCTAACAGCCGCATATAGCCAAGAACAGAAAACAATCTGAACTGAAACCAAGTATCTATGAAGCAACAGACCTCCCTGTGATGCAACAGAAAGCCATCGGAAAACGGTGACTGACTTAACTCCAGACTTAGGAAACAAAAGCACTTATTATTCCTTTCCTGATGGTCTGCGTATGACAGGATACACCAAAAAGAAATCACCCAAAAATGAGTCAGAAGACAAAACAATAAATCTGCAAACCAAAAGAGACATCCAAAGGATCAAATTTTATTTCAAACACCAAAGCAGATATTTTAAAAGCTTGCTTTGGCCCAGCACGCACGTGCCTGCAGGCACGCACTCACACATACAATTTAAGCTGGCATTATTCTGACCAGTGACGTGGCACCCTCACTCGCTGCCAATCTGAAAATGAAGTGCGGGCCAGCGCTTTCTTCTCTCCTTTCTCCTCCCTCCTTCTATGCTGAAAGAAGTAAACAAGACCCTATTAAGTGGGAAGTAGGGACAGCACAGGACACTGTATATGCCTGTGGTCCTGAAAAAGGAGCCAGATTCCTCCATGCCGCATGTTTGCCAGGGACACTAGAGATGAGGACGTCCCTCCCAATGACCCAGCATGGCCTCTTCCCTCCACAGAGGAGGAAACTGAGGATCAGTGAGGTGAGACAAATCCTGATCCATGCAGAAAGCAAGCCAATGTCCCTTCTCACTCCAATCATCTTTTCTGTGGAGTTCTGACTCAGAATTGCTTCCTCCTTCAATTCCAGATGGCAGTCATCTCTTGGGGTTTGTGCTGTGGCCATCACTTTGCATTGGCAGCCTCAGATGTGGCCCAACTGGTCTGCATGTCAGGGAGCTGTGATCGCTGCTCTGATAAGTCCACAGCTCGCTTGGACCCAAGTCCTCCAACAAAGGACAGTGCAAGCTCCTTCTAAACACCAGAGCAAATGTGCAGACAATAAACAAGGAATGCACTTCTAAGAGTTGATTTGAGCCAAATGCGGTGGTGTACACCTGTAATCCCAGCACTGGGGAAGCTGAAGTAGTTGGATCGCTGCAAAATTCAAGCTGGCCTGGGTTGCATAGTGAGTTCCAGGCCAGCCTGAACTATGTAGGGAGACCTATTTCAAAAAAAAAAAAAGTTGCTCTGGGAACCTCAGAGAGTTTGGCTCTGTTAGATTCTTAGTTATTTTTCTTGTTGTTGAGACAAAATACCAAACACCCCAAGTTAAAGGCAGAAAGGTTTATTTTAGCTCACAGTTTGTAGAGGTTCAGTCCATAGTCAACTGGCTCCATGGCATGGCAGAGGGGCATGGCTGCGGAGAAACAGCCCATGGCAGGGCAGCCAGGAGGCAGCAGCAGCAAGCCCACCTTCCTTCTCTCCCTTTTTGGCTACAAGCCCAGTGGTTGCTGCCACCACAAACAGAGTGGGGCCTCCACTATCCACACCCAGAGCTATGCTAAACCAATTTAATAATCACACACTTTTAATCCCTGTATCACATACCCTAGATTGAGCCACCTCAGAAAAGCCCCACCTAAGAGCACTTACAGCTTTGGGGAAACATCTAGATATAAGCCATAACAGCTTGCATTCTCCAGAGGCCCAATCGCATCTTCCCTGGCCCACTCCAAGGGTGAGTGGAAAAAAGAAGATTGAAGGGCTTTAGTGAGTGAGAAAACAAAGTGACCATACTTTTTCCTCCTATGTTTCCACTTAGATTTATAATCACCCCACTGCCTTAAAACACACTCTAGGGGCTAGTGGGGCATTCTACAGGAAATCAGCTCCGGGATTGCAGGACAGCAGAGGTCTGTCCTGAAAGATCTCAGGAAACTGTGAGCCACAGAGAAAGGGAAATACAGCAATGAGGTCAGACATACACTTTGTGCTATGCTAGGTACATCCCAGGGAGCCCAGGGACTCAGGGACCCCGCCTGTGTCCCAGCAGCAGTGCCTGTACCTGTGTTTGCACTTGCAAACTGTCTTCCATCTCCATCCACCTCTCCACATTTCTGCTTCCTTTCTCTAGCTCTGTCTCCTAGCAACCCTGGACATCCCACCAGAAGTACAAGTTGTGAGAATCCCAAGGCTTCCTGGGACTGACACCGAGATACCACTGTGTTCCCTGGAGCTGCAGACCAATGAGGACATTGTGGAGCTGTTGACGGTCAGCTCAGACCTGATTCCAAGCCCTGGTCCTCTGTGTGGCCAGTACTTCCAGTGGGTCATCAGCTTGGTCCACTATGACCAGACAGCAAACACTTCTGAGCCGCAACCCAGCACACAGTGCACAGACAAGAGGGTTGGCAGGGCGGGACAACGAGCCCGGCCGTCGGTAAAGTGAAGTCACTGGACAGCACCAAGGGCCTCGCAGACGCTGATCTTGAGCTTGACCTTGATCTCTACATCGTCCAGCTCCACATCACACAGCACCCAAAACACACACACTGGCCCACACCCGTTCCTCTCCTCCTTCCTCCCTCATAGATCTGTACAGGAAGTGGCAGTTTCTCAATATTCTTGCGGTCATTTAGGGCTCAACCATTTGCATTTGGAAAGGCGGAACTGGAGTTGAAACCAGGAGAAGATGCAGAGATGTAGGAGTAGAAAGATGGCCCTGGGAGACAGCAGCCTCCTGCTACACAGGGATCCTCAGCAAATAACAGTTCCACAAATACGACTCCTCATTAAAGATGACGCAGACTGAAGGGCAAAAGGGCTTTTAAGCCTTCACTTCTTTTATCTCTTTTCAGTGCTGAGGATTGACCTGGCCCTTCACACTAAGCTATATCCCCAGCCATGCATTCATCATCCATTCATTTTAATTTCTGAAGCCAGGTGTGGTGGCGCACGCCTGTAATCCCAGCACTCACGAGGCTGAGGCACGAGAATCACTGTGAGTTCGAGACCAGCCTAGGCTACAAAGTGAGCTCAAGGCCAGCCTGAACTGCAGGGCAAGACCCTGTCTCAAAAAGACAAAAATAAAATAAAATAAAATGAAATAAAATAAAATAAAATAAAATAAAATAAAATAAAATAAAATAAAATAAAATAAAATAAAATAAAATAAAATAAATTCTGAGACAGGGTCTTGTCAAGTCAATAAGCTGCAAAGGTTAGGTTGGAACTTGGAATCCTCCTGCCCTGGTCTTGCAGAGTGCTGAGACGTCAGGTGTGCACTACTGTACTGGGTTTTAATTTTTTTATTGCGTTGAGACAGTGTCTCACTATCTAGTCCAAGCTGGCCTTGAACTCACTATGTAACCCAGGCTGGCTTCAAATTTGCAGCAATGCTCCTGCCTCAGCCTCTCCACATGTTTGGATAACAAGCAGGCTTACACTTTTCTTAACATAAACCTGGCTTAAACTTTTCTTTAAAAATAGCAAAAAACTTGCAGCTCCCTAATATTTAAAATAAACTCATCCCATCCCAATTGCAAGTGCTTCTAAGAAGTTGCTGAACGGAGCGGGTTATCCTTTAAGGGCGTATGATTAAATTAGCCCTGTATAATACAAGAGAGACAACAGGAGGGGAGTTCACCATGCTTAGGAATCAGGTGAGTTAAATCCACTAGACCAGCAGGGCAGTGTAGCTCCTACTCACACTTCAGGCACTGACCACTCTCTCCGCAGGCAGGCAGCAGGCAGCAGACGTAGGAACAGGACAAAGCCCAGGGACAGCAAGGAGATCAAGGAGAGAAGTGGGGTTCCAGGTCCTCCACCCCAGCTCATGCATTCAGGATACCTGATTTGAGGAAAAAATTTAAAAGTTCTGCTGCCAAAACCAGAGTCATCCGTCAACAGCTGGGCTGTATCTGTTGCTGTAGCCCCCGAAGGGTCTGGAATCCTGGGGTCTCACCTCTGCTGTCGTGGGGCTGGGGTCCTAGAAAGAGTGACCCTGATGGCTAGGGGGAGGGGGAGGAGGACACAAAGGTCCCCGCAGCTCCCAGCTCTGCACCCCCACGCACATGGGCCAGGCCCACACCTTGTATGGTTCACACCGCACCAGCAACTCCAGCTGGGAAGGAGCAGCCATCGAGGGCTCTCAGGGAAATCAATTATGGTCACAGGGACTTTCCTGGAATAGTAGTAGACTCTGGGGCTGTGGTTTGGCCCAGAAAATGAGCCACAACAAAGTTCCACGAAGTGACCAGCAGCATTCACGAGAGCGGCTGCCAGGAGGCAGAGGGCTGAGGTGCAAGGGGTGCTCTCCAGAGTAACCCCAGGGTCTCCTCTCCAGATCCGTCCTCCAAGGTGTGCGGACCCAAGGATCGAGAAGCCCTTGCAGCTCGGGCGTTCTCTGTAGTCGGCTGCCTGAGCTCACAGACAGCATCTTTTGTTTCCTTTACTCCCAAACCAGGAAAGAATCAAAGAGGGGAAAGGCAGAAGGCGTGAAGGGCGTCCTTATCTTTCAGTTTGTCCCGGCAGCGAGCGCCTTAGCTGGAGGTGCCCCCCAGTCTTCTTTCTCTGCTTTGCGCCCTTCCCAGCCCAGAGCAGCAGCCTGCAGACCAGGTTCCAGAGCAGGCCAGGGAGCCTGGTAAGCTCGGTCCACATTTCAGGCTGACACCCGTGCCTGTCACAGCCGCAGCAGACAGCAGCTCAGCAGACTGCTGTGTGCTTCTCTCCCACCTTCCAGGGTGGCTGGTGATGCAGCCCTCCAGCCCTCCATGCACTTCCTTGCGGCTCCCTCTGGACCCCACTCCAGCCTGTCCTTGCCCAGGACTGCAGCAGAGGGGAAGCTGAGAGCCTGATACAGAGCTTTGTGCAGAAGACTGTGGACCCAGGGCCCAGAAGCCAATATTCAGCTACAAGACCTGAAAAGCGCTGGGAGGAAACAAGAACTTTTTCCCCCTTAAAAATAAAATCCTTTGCCCAGAGGTAGCTCTCAAAATGTGCCTTGGGGTGTTCTCTAGGGTACAGAAGAGCCCAGACCTGAAGGGACCCCAGGCCTGAGGGTCAGAGGGATACCTGTGCCGCCCTGTCCTACAAACATACCTTGAGGGGGAAGCGTGCAGAACCACTTGGAGGTATTCGAAGGACAATGCAGGGTGCCCACTCCCTCGCCAATGCTATAGTGCTCTCTGCACTGCAATTTTGAGCCCAGGACCAGTCATGCTGGAGGAGACTTCAGGGAGGACCAGTGTGTCCTGCATACAATCACATCCTGCTATAAATTTAATAAGGGAATGCAAAGGAGAATTTTTTAATGTAGATTTTCATTCAACAAACATTCACTGAGCGCTCGCTAACCCCCAGCACAGTCAACCTCCTTACCAACGCAGGGGCTGCTGCCCGAGCTCAGAGCCAGGCCCAGCTCAGACACAATGGAGGCCAGGGAGCTGCACTGGAAGCAAGCACACCACTTCTCCCCCACACCACCTCTCAGGCCAAGCTGCCTGCAGACATCCGGTCCAGGGAAGCGGGCATCCTAGCACAGGTCAGGCCTTGTAAACCAAGGGTTGGCTGTGGGGGCCAGACATCCCCTACACCCCAGTCCGGATGCACTGGGGGCTGACAAGAAACTAGGCTGCAGCTCCGCCTGGAACAGTTTCCTGGGGTCAGAAAATGAGAGCAAAGTTTGCCCTGGGGTCCTGGGAGCCATGGATGGAATTTTCAGTAGGATGCACTTCGGTGCGTGTCACGTAAGGGGATTCTCACAAGCACCGGGGCAGACACCAGCTAGAAGTTCCATGCAGGTGAAGAAGAATCTGAAAGTGTCCTGCACATTCTCCACAGCACATGGATGAGGTGTGATCAAAGCATACGATGAATGTTTAAATTAATGCATTGCAGTAAAAGACATGCCGCCATGAAGCACCTTCACAAGCCTCCCCCTCACTTCAAACACACTCATCCACTCATCCTACCCTCCTTGCCACTTTCTGGGGCAGCTCTGGAATCCTTTCTCCTGAGTATCTCTACCAGGTTTGATCAAAAATGCAATGAAATTTCTACTGCCAAGCACCATGCAACAGGAAGACAGACATAAAAACATGACGCTGTGTCCTCATCCACCACAGCCACCCAAACTGGCACCATGTGACTTCTGGCTCTTCCCCAAAGTTAAACTGACCACAAAAGTATGCAGTCACTTCAGGACATGGAGGCAGCCAGGACAGCACAACTAAAGACCCTCAGGAAAGAGCTGCTGCAGAAAGTGGCAAGGATGATGGGACGAGTGTGTTCAAAGTGAGGGGAAGATTCTCAAGAGGACTCACGTCAGTTTGCCTTTCACTGTCACATGTTTTTTAAATGTGTCAGCACTCAGTGTATTTGTGGCTCAGCCTCGCTATGTACTGAAGGCTTCCAGGCCCCCAGGATGTGTGCAGAGCCCTGGACCTCGGAGCTGCCTTCCCTGAGTGCCTCCTCCTCGTTCTTAGGTGAAAGTGATGGAGCTCTGCAGACTAAACCAGAGCTTCTTGAGACAGACCTGAGGTCCATGTGAGACAGAAAGAAACTAAGACACCCTCAGGCCCAAGACCCAGCTGCAAGTGACCCTGCTGCAGCCTTGGGACCCCTCCAAACCTCAGACCCTCAACACAGCAACCTGGGACTCTGGGCAGTAAGGTTTGCTCCATTTCCCAGGGCTTGCCATGGGGATGGAGGTGATAACCTGCAGAAAAAAGGTACAGAAACATCAGCAGCACACAGGTGGGACCACTGAGCAAGGACCAGCAGGGCCCTCTACTCTGGGGACCTCCAACTTCTGACTTTGCTCTTTCATGATTCTTTCAGGAACAGACCCTGCAGTAGATGCTGAGAATGCTAAAGAAGGGGCCTGTTCTCAAGGAGTTTACCAGAACACGCAGCATGGTAGTTCACACCTGCAATCCCAGCACTCTGGGAGGCTGAGGCAGGAGGATTCCAAGATCAAGACCAGCCAAGAGCAATTTAGCAAGACTTTGTTTTGACATAAAAAATACAAAAAAAAAAAAAAAAAAGGACTAAGCATGGAGGTCAGCATGAGGGCTTGGGTTCAATCTCTACTACTTCAAAAAAAATAAAGTGTACCAGAATATAAAGAACTACTACTATGCATCTTATCTTAGGGGAAACTTGAAATAAGAAAGAAATTTTCCAGGAGGAACCAGGACCCTGCGCATGAGATGTGATCCTCTGATTCAGTCTACGTCCTGAACATGTGGCCAGGGCTATTCTGGAACCCCAAATAAGCTCTACAAACCTCAGGAAGTATCATCTTATTTTTGAAGGCCCCAGAGGGCTTACAGCCATGTCATATTTTTATAGCTTCTCTTAGGCCAGGAGCCGTACGGATTTTGCACTTATTCTGAATTTAACTGGTATTTAAGTGTTCCGGTTATAGCTGCAAACACACTTTTGGGTTCCAGTGTGTGGTTGGAGAGGTGGACGGCGAAGAAGCTTTGGAAATTTACAGCCCAGAAATAGCATGTGGTCTGCGTGCCTGAGAAGAAACCAGTCCTCGGTGACGAACAAGGCAGTGGCCCGCAGAAGCCAGCACACAGAAGACAGCAGACGAAGCAGAGCTCTCTGTCCCACACACACACACGGGTTGGTTACTGAACAATGGGGGTCCCCTCCAGGGTGGGACACAGAGGGCCTTCAGGGCGGAAGACTTCGGAAGACAGGCCCAATGGGCAACCATTGAAGCAAAACATCCAGACAAGACACTGACTTCAAATCCAGGGTCTTCACACTGAGTGACATCCCTAGCCCTTTTTTACCTCGAGACAGTCTCATCAAGTCACTAAATTGCCCAGGTTGGCTCCAATTTGCCATCCTCCTGCCTCAGCCTCCCAGAGTGCTGGGATCAGTGGCATGCATGACCGTATTAGGCTCAAGATGCTGACTTTACAGAAAATAATCGAAGCTCCTCATTGGTGTCTCATGAAGCAGCATCTCTACCTGGCTGGAGAAATGAACCACACAGGCTGTGAGAGGACTTGGATGGAGTTTCTAAGCTCTGGACCCCAGTCCAGCCTCTGACTACCCCGAGACTCCCATGGCTTCCACTCCTCCTCTGCTGTGTTCTTGGGGTCCTGTGGGTTCCCTGGCTTTGCCCTGGTGTGTGTGGGTCACAGGTCTTCAGGGTTATTCGCAACTCAGCCTGGGAAGAATTTTGATTTTGCTTAGTTTTAAGATATTGACTTTCTGAAGATTTCCTTGTAAGAAAGAATCACTACAGCACCTCTCCCACATAACTCTGGAAGCCCCTGCTCTGATCTGCACAATTTCCCTCACGTTTGCACAGCTCTGCACTGACACTTGGGTGTTACCCTACCTGGAGGCGAGCGGACAAGCAGCCCTCTGTCGCACCCTAAGAGGTCTGGCCGCATCCCAAAGACACTTGCTATGCGTGCTTGGTAATAAAGTCCTGCCATGCCCCAGAACTTCAAGTCACTGGGGAAAAAAATGGGATAAAGAGGTTTCTATTTTTAAAAATATACTAGTATGTTTTTGGAGGAAGGGCACAGGGCTCTCTAGGGATGCCGGTACATAGGGGGATGGATTACTTGCAACTGAAAGGGGACCTAGATATGGAGAGAGGGAAGGGAGGGGTGGGGGTGAGAAAAGAATTAAGAAGTGTGAGATCCATGGATCAACTCCTCGCCATGAGTGTCATCACTGCACACCGCAAACGTGGACTAATAAAAGCTAAAAATTGAAAAAGAAAGAAAATGTGAAAATAGCACAAAAACCAAGAAATGAAGTCAATACCACTTGATCATTATTAATTTTATTTTTGTTTTGGCAGTACTATGGATTTAACCCAGGACCTTTGCACTAAGCTACATCCTCAGCCCCTTTAAAAAGAATTTTTTTGAGACAGGGTCTTTTAAAATCACTAAATTTCCCAGGCTGAATTCAAACATGAGATCATTCTGCCTCAGCTTTACGGGATAATTACTGACTTAGGGGGCTGGGGATTTAGCTCAGCGGCAAAGCGCCTGCCTGGCAAGCGCAAGGTCGTGAGTTCGGTTCCCGGTACCGGAGAAAAACCAAAAAAAAAAAAAAAAAAAAAAATTACTGACTTAGCACTTACTGGGCTTCTTCTGTGCTTGCATGAAAGGTAGCAAGAAACTCTGCGCTCAACTAGAGGTGACAGTGAACTACAAACACATCGCCTCCAAATGGGCCAACAAATCCTTTCTCTACCTGCCTATCTTGCTGCTCGCTCTACCAACAAGATCCTGACAAAGTTCCTGGCCCCAAGGGCCCCCCTCCTGGTTCTCTAAGCAACAAAAGAGGCTTTAAGCCAAGGAGCCTCAGGTACAGGTAGCCAGAGACAGAGATCCACGCTTCTTGCACTACCATGAATTACATGCAATGAGGACAGTTTGTACTGAGAGATAACTAACACCTAGTTAAAACAAACAGAACTAAAGAATAAACAAGCATTCTACCTTGTAAGCCACATCAGTTTAAGGCTTTTGTGTTTTGGGGGAACAAAGGAATTATTTTTTTTAATATTATGTACACACAGTAAAATTTCCCAGGAAGCACTAGACTAGCAGCAGAGAAATAAAATGCATACCCTCCCAGCTGTAAAAGAAAAAAATGGAATAAAGATATATTAAGAAAAAAAAAAAACACCTGAAGAGGAAAAAAAACAGACCAAGAGAGAAGGCAACAGTACAAAATCACTACAGAAAAAGATTCACCTATATTAAGAATCATAAGAAATAAATGGTTAAGCCCGGTGTGGTGGCACACACCTGTAATACCAGCACTAGGGAGGCTGAGGCAGGAGGGTCATTGTGAGTTCAAGACCAGCCGGGGTTACAAAGTGAGCTCAAGGCCAGCCTGAACTGCACAGCGAGACCCTGTCTCAAAAAGACCAAAAGCAAAACAACTCAGAAGTAAATGGATTACACTTGACAGCCAAAGGGAAGAAGTGCTAAAATTGCATTTTAAAAGGAGAAACAGATGCAAAGTCTTAAGAAACTGTGGGGATTGGAAGTGGAAAGGTGATGGGAAAGTGATGGAGGAAAATGTCACCCAATGAAATGCTAGGTTTTAACGGAAGAAGCAAAACTAGAGAAAAAGCAGCTAGTGTGTTGCAAGGAAATGTGCAGTTCATTATGAAGCTACCATCATTCCAAATCTGTATACGTGAAATAGCTTCAAAATACACAAAACAAGTAGTGGAAAAATCTAACAGTAAGGAAAATCACAGTAAGGAAA